AAGGGGTTCTCATTTGCATAATCCCACCCCAAAAAAGGGGGGTCCCAGCCCCTCCCCCGTGTACTGCGTGGGGACACGTGTGTCCATGTGTGTGCGGCCCCGGTCACACGCTCCGGCCCTTCTCCGGGTGGGGGAGGGAGTGCGGGGGGACACAGAGACCCCCCAGCCCGGGGAGGGGGTTTGGAGGTGCTGCCCCCCTGCTCTCAGCACCTGGTGGCCCCAGGGACGCGGATTTGGGGTCCGTGGGGACCCTCCACCCACCGAGCTTAGGGGGGCCCTGGTGTGCAGGGTGGGGGGCACACGTGGGGAGACCCCCAATCTGACACCCATGGGGGGACCCCCATCCCACTGACACGGGGGGACCCCGATCTTTTCTGCTGGGGGTGTTTCCAGCGCCCACCCGGGACTCGCACCCCGTAGGGGTCCGTGTGCTTGGTGTGACTGCTCGTGCGGGACCGTGCCCGCGGGGCCGCGTGTGCGGGACAGACCCCGGAGAGCCCCGTGTCCCCCCCCAGACTGCTGCCGCCCCCGCCCGTGGGGGTGACTCTGAGCCTGGCACAGGTTTCCTCCGGTGATCGGCCTCGCCCGGAACCCAGGGGGTCTCCGGGACCCCGTTCGGTCTCGGGGGACCCAATCCCGGGCGGTGGTCGCGGGGAGCCCACTCGTGACCCAGCGGGCTCCCGGCCGGGGGTCCCGGCAGGAGCCTGTGCGGTCCCGCTCCCGGTCTCGGTCACTGTCACGGTCCCGGTCCCACTCCCGATCCCGATCCCGGTTCCCCCCGCGCGCTCCCCCCGGGTCGGTATCGCTTTAAGGGATCTCCCGCGTCGGCGGTGACGTCACGCGGGCCCGGCCAATGGGGCTGTGCGGGGGGCGGGGCCGGCGGAAGGCGGGAAGGGCGGGGGGCGGGGCCTCCCCCCGACAATTGTCGCGCGCGCGGGGGGGACGCGGCGGCCGCGCTCGGGAACCCGCGACCCCCAGGGACCCCCGGGACCCCCCCCCTCACCCCCGGCACACCCCTAGGGACCCCCCGGGACCCCCCCTCACCCCCGGCACACCCCCAGGGACCCCCCGGGACCCCCCTCCACCCCCGAGACACCCCCCACTCCCGGGACACCCCCCGGGACACCCCTGCCCCCAGCCCCGGGACACCTCCCCCACCCCCGGCACCCCCCCGGGACCCCCCC